ATTAAATTGTTTACAGAAATATTTACTCCAGTTTAAGGACATTTATTACATAAATGAGAAGGACAAAACCAAAATACTAAGGGAACTTGAAAGGACATTTAACTTGAAAGTAGAGTATATTTCCAGAGAACAAAATGAAGCCTATCCCTGTCAAACTTACTGCAGCCAAAGTGCTACAATAGTATTATCATTCCAGACCATGCTAGCTACATTTCCTGCTTTAATCACTGTACAGAAGAGAATAATCTTCCCTGCTTTAGGCCACAAAAGTTAGATTGTATTTGATTTTTGCCTCTAGACAACATTTTTAAGTCAGTTACTTTGACATATCGTCTCTGAGGTTCCAACTTCTTTGACCATCCTGCTAAAAGCTATTCTCAGATGCTTTCAATGCTGCAGTCTCTTCTCCTTACTGTACCTTTCTGTCTTTTTTTTTTAAATTCTTTTTCTCGGGGAATGGCATGGGACAGGGTGTTGGTGGTTTTCTATGGGGTTTGTTCAGTTTGCAGTTTTTTTATAAACTGATAATTCCAGTTACCTCCTTAAAAAAACTCAAGCAAAATATGAAGTGATCTATCCACAGATCCCACGCGAAACTTTTGTACATTTGTGCCTTTAGCTTGGTGAGACATTAAATACACAGTAAGATACTAATACTTCAAAAACATCAACTTATTCTAACATTGCAGAGAGATTCCTTGAGGAAATTACTTTATGTAGGACCTGCTTAGGGAAGTTGAGGAAACAGGAAAAACCTATGTAAATAGTGAACATATGATAAGTCTGTTTTATTGCTTGTGTCTCATCATTAAAACAAAACAGGTTCCCATGGTGCAACAGATGCTTCCTGAGGCAGATAGCCTCCCACAACACATGACTAAAACCTCAGTTAGTAATACCATGTTCTCCCATTCAGTTACCCGTTTACAGCCTGCCTCTTGAAACCAGCTTAAACAATCACAATCCTTGACATATAAAGTAATAATATCAGCAGCTAAGTCTGATAGGAAAATTCATATTAGCCTGCCTCATAATAAGCATAGAGGGCTTTTAGTCTTCCTTTTTCTCTGCTGTATCACAACAAATAATAAAGAAAAAAACAGAAAAAGTAACTACTCCATGCTCAGACTAGAGCCCCTCCAACCTCCTAAGAAGACTTCAAGAAAATCCCTCATGTTTTGCTGACTATTAAATCCCATGCTAAAAATTTAGATCACATTACCTCACATCAACTTTATCAAAGTCAAATACAAGTTTCTTTCCAGTCCATAGAAAGTACGTCCACAGGTCTTCCAGCATCTTATTATATATCTTGTTCCCCAGTTTTGGGGAACAAGATATATAATAAGAAATATCTTCCTTCAAATTTTCTAATATCCTATAAGAATTCGTTCTTTACAGAATGGTCCTTCATTTTACAGAGGAAAAACAAGCTACAACCTAAAACAGGGCATGAAAACATTAGGAAAAATAAACTGCATGCAGATGAAATGTCTGGAATCACTGTTGGGAGTTAACTGGATTAGCAAATTAAAACAGTCAAAATAAATAGTTCAACATCTTTAGCTCTTTTTACTTTCCTGTCTCAAAATAGCTTATTTACAAGAACTTCCTTCCTTGGTGTAAATATACCCTTGCAACACTGTTGTAGTGCAGGTAAAACAGCAGAAAGTTATTCTACTTTGTCACATTTTTCCTGCCAAGTAAAAAGCGAATGAACATCTAGTCCACATACTCAATATGCTGCTCTTCAGGAGTCTTGCAGGTATAAACCATGCAGCATAAAAGAGAAAATCCATTCCCTGCTGTTAAGTAAAATCCCTGTATTTCATGTAAGCTTTACTTCTAATAAAGTGGGTTTTTTTAATTATCAGTCTTCATTCTTAATCAGAACAAGCAACATTACCCACTGTGACAGAACAAAAAAAATGTTTCTGAAATATAAATAGGACATATTTGTTACCTGATTATATTTGGTACATATTCAGACCTACTGTAATCAGGTAACTATGTAACTATGTTGTGTAAATGTAGATCTTTTAAGATAATGGTAAAGATTTAGTAAAAGCACTACAAGAAAAACAGAGGTTACTAGATGAACTTGCAATTAAACTGCATTTCTCATTAATTTCAGGTTTGCATTTAATGTCTTAGAAGAAAGCACTCTATGCAAATACATATTCATCACTGATTTGCGTGGAAATTATATGTAGAAAAGTGCTATTTTGCAGGGAGCGGGCTATTAAATATTTCTTCAATAATTAAAACTGAACTAGCAGAAACAAGGGCTACAATTAAGCCATCTTATTTTATGTACAGTGTATAGTTCAAACATATCGTTTCACCCATCTCTAATTACCCCAGCTGAACAACATGCCTCATCAACTATTATAATTTCAGCCATTTAAACAGGTCTTTAGCTTCTCTTGCTTTCTCTGGAACAGGAAGAAACTTAAGGTCACATATAAAGATGGTCCACTAAAAACCAGGGCAAATCTTCTGAATACTAATAAAATGTTTCCAGCATATAAATGTTTCAGTATTTTCTTTCAGAAACTGCCTCAGCTTTGGTGTAAAAATGCAGTACAATGTAAAAAATGCAGTACAAGTCAAGAGACACAAACAAAGTACTGGGAAGTTCCTCAGGAGGCTCACACTCCATCACTAATGTTTCAGTCTGCAGACTGAACTGTGGCTGTCCCAAACATTCTGCAATAATAAAGGCAAACTATATGCATTATTTTTGAAAACTCATGGCAGTCAGGTGAAGGAAGGTCTGGTGATCAGGAAAAAGGAAACATCAGTCCTATTGAAAAAGAGAGAAATGCAGACCTGAGAAAATAAAGACTACTGAGCCTCACAAAACACCCTCTGTTTTGGAAGATCATAGAGCAGATCCTCATGGAAGCAATGCTACTGCACATACAATCAAGTGATCTGAGACAATCCAGCCTGGCTTTACTAAGGGCAAATGGTGTCTGACTGATCTGGTGGCCTTCTATGATGGGGTGACTGCAGTGGTTGATGGGGGAAGACCAAACAAATGTCATCTACCTAGACCACTGAAAGGCATTTGACACAGTGGCACATAACATCCTCATCCCCAGACTGGAGAGAGACAGATTAAAAGGATGGATCATTTGATGGATAAGGAACTGCCTGAATGGACATAGCTGTCAATCATTCTCTGTCCAAATGGAGGCCAGCGATGAGTGGTGCCCTTCAGGGCTCTCTTGGGACAGGGGCTCTTTGATACCTCATCAACAACATAGACAGTGCACCTCAGCAAGTTTGCAGATGACATGAAACTGAACAGCACAGCTGAACTAGAAGAAGAAAGAGATGTCATGCAGAGGGATCTGGACAAACCTAAGAAGTGGGCCCATAAGAATCTCATGAAGTCCAAGGGCAAGGTGTTGCACCTGCATTGGAGCACTGCAAGACATGAGCAATGCAAGACATGAGTCTCCACAGACTCACTGGAGAAGTCATTTGGAGCATCGCTACCAAGAAGGACTTGGGGGTGCTGGTGGATGAAAAGCTGAACATGAGCCAACCAGTGTACACTCACAGGCCAAAAAGTCAGCTGCATCCTGGGCTACATTGAAAGAGGAGTGGCCAGCAGGTCGAGGGAGGCGATTCTGCCCCTTTGCTCTTTTCCAATCCCACCTGGAGTGCTGCCTCAGCACAAGACATTGACCTATTGGAACAAGACTGGCCAATGAAGATGATCAGAGCACTGGAGCACCTATCTTAAAACAGGCTGAGAGAGCTGGGCTGTTCAGCCTGGAGAAGGTTCCAGGAAGATCTTACTGCGACCTTCAGTACATACAGGACAGGTACAAAATAGAGGAAGAGCAACGTTTTACCCAGGCAGATAGCAACAGAACAAGGATAAATAGTTTTAAACTAAAACAGGAGAGATTTCGACTACATGTTAGGTGCAAATTTTTTACTCAGAGGGTAGAGAGGCACTGGAACAGACTGCACAGAGACTTTGTGGATGACCCAATCCCTGGAAGAGTTCAGGGTCAGGCTGGATGGGGCCTGTTGATGCTGCTTGCACATAGGCACACGGAAAAGTAAGTAGCATCACATAAAATTTGACAATGATAATTCATAACTTAACTCATTCAGGGAGAATAATCTTCCCCTAGATATTATAAAAAAGGATGACAAAACAGGGCTAGATTTTTCTCCCATTCATCTACAGTAAGAATGGGTGTCAGAACCACATGACAATACCCTCATTCTTAGGGGACATCTTCATCCCCTCAGTTGTCAAGCATGTGCCTAACAACGGCTAGAAAGCAAAATAAGCAAGCACAACGAAACTACATTCCTACCAAGTAATTCTGAGAATTCCAGTGGTAAAGTTTTGTAAATGCAAGGGCAAGTCCTTTGCCAGGACCACCAGGAGCCTACCTACCAAACTCATTCAACCACACTCACAAAAACTTCCTTAGGTTGTAGGACTTAATTTACCATTAGTAAGCATGATGTCCTTAATATTTGTCTGTAAAATGTAAACCATACCAGAAATCTTTCTTCTAGACTGCTCTCTGTAACAGGTATTGTTTCACACCATGAAGTGCCTGCAACAGATCTAAGGTAAATAAGATAACCCAGTGATGCCTCAACCAAGAAAATTTTGAGTGAAGAAACTGCAACGCCAAGCAGTGGATCTGTCAGTAAGACACCACTATCTTACTGAAAGCTAAACCTTTCACCTTTGCCCACCTCTTACACCAATCACAAAAGTAGCACCTTCTATACACAGTCATACAAAACTTTCCTCTAGGCTAGAACAATGGACAGTAATATCCCATCTCAGATAAACACAGAAATTAAGACTTTCCCTTCATATGTGTCTGAGGAAAGGGCTGAATTAATAAGAACAGCAACAACTACTCAAGTGCTGAAACATAAAGAGCAACTATACAAAACAAAAGGATAAAAAAGACTTCATGCATACACAAGTAAACTTTTTTTACTCCTACCTCATCACTCTCGTCTACTTCGATACCACCATCTTTGTCATCATCCATCTGCTTATGGATCATGCGGAGAGCTTCTAGGCTGAATCGGTCCTCCTCAGTAAAGCACGGCGGGCTGAGTGAACTGCAGGGATCTAAAGTGAGGAGGACAAAAAAAAAATCAAAACACAACAGAAATATTATTTAATTTTACTTCAGAATATAAAGCTCCCAAGCAAAATAAAGGTTTTAAAACTCTGCATTGTGTAAATGTACTTCACTTGCACATAATCACCAGATCACAGATAAAAATTTAACCATAAAATAGTGGTTGTACAAAAAAAGTGAAAGGCTTGTGTGTGCAAATCAACTCTATTTTTATTAAGGAAGAAGTCCCAAAAAATAGGCTGGAATAGTTTTGACTTCCATTTATTTCTTCCATCCCACTAACTTACTATCTCCATTTTTTCTTTTATTATCCACATTTAGTTTATGTCACTGTAGTGGCAAATAAAGCTACCATGTTTCCCAACCTCCTTTCTGAATGTCTGAGTGAAACAAAGAACAGTGAAGGAAAAGAAAAGGAATTGTCATATCATACAATCATAGTTCCAGAAACAGATAACAAAGGGATGGTAATCACACTGCAGATCAAATTCTAAACAGGCGGTACTACTGAACAGAAAATACTCAAGGACTGCAAGAGCAGAAAGCACACTGCAAAGAAAATTCAGCTGATAGTAGTACACAATGTATTAGTCCTGTACACTCTGATCACAAACTGCAGTCACTGTAGAGCAGGATTCCAAGTCAAAAATAGAACACTTTCATTTGCATTCGTTACTGAAGGCTCATGATTTGCACACATCTGATGGCTCAGCCTGCACCACATCAAATTGCTAAATCTGTGTTCTTTCCCTTCTACAAAATATATGCCAAATGCTCCAAAATTCTAGAATGCATGATGATCAACCATCACCACAGTGACCTTACACAGACCTTGGCATTAACTAATAGCAGCTATTGCATTAATTCTGATGTACTGAACATCAGCAAAGAACAGAAGGTGGAGAAGAATACAGAAATGACTTCTTCAAAATTGAACTTAAATAAGGCAGCAAATTCCCACTGTACTAGCCACTATAAAACTGCACTGACTAGTTCCATACTGTTACACTACACTTAAATCATATCAATGCAAGTATAAATATGAGTAATTCTGCTTCTTCTAATCTATGAAACAATTAAGCTTTCATGCTGCTACAGAATTTATTAAAAGGCTGACTTATATAAGTAAAGGAAGAACTTCTAGAAAAAGAGAGGAATCAAATGTTTTCAGAGAAAAATAAATTCTTTTGTTTATGATTTCATACCAGCTGGATTATCATGATTCTGCTTTTCTGTCTAATACAAATTTTAAAATAATTAAAAACCAAAATAAAGGAATGCATAAGGTTACAAAGCAGGAAGTGCAAGGATAACAACCATGACATAGCTGGAATCTCAAACACATAATTAACAGGACTGGTTTCCACAGCTAAACACAAGTCAAGGCATTCCTACTTCATACTTGAGTTTTATTATACAGGAATGAATGGAAATCTGTTATCTGTTCCCATGCATTAATAAAAAAACCAAACAAACAAAACAAAGCAGAAAAAACCCAAACACTTCACTGACACTGTCCAAGAACTGAGAGGTGTTGCTTTTAGAACTACTTCATGTAGTTCTAAAAGCAACACCTAATACAAAGATTTCTATATTTATTAGTTAGTAAATTATTAAGTATTAATGAATTTTTTTCTAAATATTAAACTAGACCAATCACAAACAATGTAATTTTCAGCTTTGGAATGCAACTGATACTTTATGAAGTAGGAGGGGTAAATTTTAAAAAAACTATTTTATTTGTCCTTTTTTTGTTTATTACAAAGGTTTAATTTGCACAATACTCAGCCTTTAGATTTTTGCCTTGCAATGAAAAAATTACTATCATTTGAGAGGTTAAAGGACCTATCCCTGCAATTACAGGGTGCTCCATGTAGAAAGGTTTCCCTTGCAATAACAATGATCACCTGGAAGTTCTAATAATTAAATTCTCATGGCCATGAACAAAAAAAATATTATTTTACTAAAATACAATCATATCAGAAGAATAATTTCTGTATTAAAAGTCATAATCTATCTTAAATTAGAAGAAAGTATAGCTGTCAAAACATAAACAGATCCCTCAAACAAACCCAACTTGTTTAATTTGTTCTTAATTCTATTCTAACATGGAATCAAATTTCAGATTCATGTGTTCGCAGTTTGTAAGCACCCATTCAAATGTTTTTTTCATTTTGTTCAGCTGAAAGCCAAGTTTTTTTAAATCAAAAAGGTTTCCTCAGAGTACATTTGCTCACAACCGAGGCTGATGGGTCCCTTAATCAGGGTACTTATCTTAAATATGCCTTTTTAGGATATTTAAGCATGAAGGCACTTTAAAGAGCTATGGCTTTTCTTGAGAGAAGTAAACAGGCTGCTTGTGCTTCAAATGTCCCATGTGCTGGCTCCAAGAACACTTGATCTCTCTCTTAAGAGCCGATAGAGTGCCAATTGCTCTTTTTGGGACTGAGAAACAGAGCAGGACCACACGTCAACTGCAATAAAAATTAACCCACTCTAAAGAGAATCCAGATTTATTTTCAAGCTTATTTTCGTCTGCTAAAATTAAACATTTAGACTGACAATACTGGTCATCCCCTTCTTCAGAGAACAATCTCAAACAAACTACAAAGCCGCAACCTAAAGAATAAGTGAAAAGCATTTCACAAGCATACCTAGGGAGACATACCAAATCCAAAAAACAGCAGATGGGAATTTAATCATCTGCAGTTCTGCAGAATATTCTGCCATGCAGTAGTTTGCCTCAATTGCACGGCAAAAACAATTCAAATTAATACTAGATGGAGTATGGTTAATTAACTGGTTGTCTGGGAAGTTTTTAAGACAAAATCCAAGAGAAAACGTCTCAAGACACAGCAAACATCATAAATATAGCCCTGAAGCCCCACAACAAATCATAAGCCTAGCTGATAATTTTTTACTTTGAGTTGACACTACTGAAGATGATCTGGGATTCCAAACCTTCTCTTGTACTTTAAGAACAAGCCTGACTTAATGTCTAGACCGATTTCTCCATCCTAGTCTGGTGTGTTGTCATAAATACATGTAGTCCAAAATCATCCCCACAGGAAACAGATGATAAATTCACTCAGGGAGTGAACCAACAGTTTGGAATTTGAGCTTTCCTTTAATGAAAAGTACAGAAGAATTAGCAAAGGAAACAAAAGAGACAAGGTGAGCAAGAGGCACAAAAGCACAGCAGATACCACTCCAGGCACAAGTTCTTTTATACCTCAGTTTTTCATGTTGCTCAGAAGCAAGGAAGTTTCAGAAATTCTGGTCATAATAAAGAAGGAATTTGTTCCTGAACTACTAAATGTCAGTCGTGGCTCAAAAAACTTGGCAGAGGATATTGATACAAACCTTCCTCCCGCCTTGAAGCAGCAAGCGCCTCCCAGCCCTAAGGCAAGGGGGGAGGTCCTCACCAGTCCATGGGAGACTCCGACAGGAGACAGTTTGATAATGAACCAAGCACAGTTATCCAACCCAAGATAAAGAAAACTTTATAGGTAACACTTCACACCCTTTCACCCCACCCTTCCTTCCCCCCCACTTTAATCTTCTTCAGTGAGACTAAAATAAGGTGAGACTACAAAAAGAATTTCAGTTTGAAATTCCCCTCAACTTTAGATTCACAGCTCTTTATTCCATTTCCTAAAGACAACAGAGGTTAAACTTAAAATGTGACATTGTCAATACAAGCCAGTAAGGAAAATTAATTTTACCCCTTATCTTCAAGCACTTATCTCAGCAAAGCTCCTCAAAATTATTTAGGACTACACCATCAGAAGAGTTTCCAAAGCAAAAAGGTATATGCACCTCATAGCCTTTCATCCACCTGGCATTTCCTTCTCCCTGAACAGCTGCAAACGTTACAGACTTCAGAATAAAAAAGACTGACAGACCAACAAACAGGGAATAAGCCTGCAGATCTCACACACACCTCCTTTTGCATACAAACACTGGAACAAAACATCTATGGCTGTGCCAAGCCTGACAGAATGACTCCAACCAGGTGTTTCACAGTTTCAGGCTGGAACTTTTCAATGTCTGAAAGAGCCTTCTTAAGAATACAGGGACACACAGAAGTTTCATGATTTTTCACAGGTACCTGGAATCACGTAGACGCTTCCAAATCTAAAATTTAAATGCCTTTAATTTTTTTTTCCATTAATTCACTGAGAGCAACGTAGCATTTGGGAGTTATTTCAAGAGCCTGACTACCACACATTGTTTTTGTTCTGTGAGGATGTTCAGCATTCATCAAGAAAGAAAAGCATGTTTTTTATAATAACATATGGCAGTCCTAAGGAAGCCCGCAGGGCTCCCATGCCTGTCTTATAGTGATGAATTCAGAAGTGCACCATGCTGTTTTAGGTTTATGACTCCTCATTCCTAAAAAGCCATATGGGATAAAGGGAAGCCTCACAGAAAAGGCAAGCACTATAAAGCATCAGCTTCCTCAGTACATCCTCATCTTAAAATAACCATGCTTCAGTATGCCATGATGACACAGACGTGGATTTCTTTGCATTTTCCAGACACAAAGGAGGTGTCCACACTATGTTCAACCCCCTGCCAAATGAATATTCACCTAACTGGGATTCCTATTTCCTTACATTTCTATTTTACAGGTACATTAATATATTGCAGTTTCTTAATTCAGTGACACCTTTCAAGGCAAAAAACCTTTACAAGAACAATTTTTAAAATCTGAGCAAAAACTGGAGTGTCAGATAGAACAGGCGTTAATGAAAATACTGAAAAGCAAGTGTTTTCAAGAATTTTACCTGATGTTCAAAATAAATTTATTCACAGTAAAGGCAAATATGTTGTTATGTTAAATCCTTACATAATACATCCTGTCACTAAAATCTTCAAGTGCTTGAGACAGCCTCAGAGTGAGCTTCTTTTAATCTTTCAATTAAAAGCTCCCAAAGCAAATCACTCCTACTCTTAATAATTAAACTCCTCCATATGGCAAGTA